TCTCTCTCTCTCTCTCTCTCTCTCTCTCTCTCTCTCTCTCTCTCTCTCTCTGATGTGAATATTTCTGGTCTACTTGAATAAATCGTGGTATTAATGAAAGTTCAATAACGCAAAGAAAATGTTATAAATGGCTCCTAATATAAGGTTAAACAGCATCGTAGTTCTAACATTTATTAGCGGAATGACGATTAGCCTTGGTTAGCTTCGCAAAATTACATTGATCGATTATTCTCGTATTAACGATAAATTTCAATTCTGTCTCGTTTTGCATGTTTATTCAGATATCTTTATGCATTGTTTAATCTTTGTAAGCTATTTTGATCTTGTATTATGCGAAACAATTAAATTTTTTTAACAAATACAAACGCATTTGGTACAAGGAGAAGAAATTTCATAATTGTGTCTATAAATAATGAAAATACGTGAAATAAAATATGAAATTTTTACTTAAAATTATATATTATTAGAAAAACTTTTTCAGTAGTTTTTACTCAATCTTTTAACGTCTTTGTAAGTCATTTTCATGAAGGAGAGTAACAATATGAGTATTACACTTTACGTTTGAAAGCTCGCTTGGAATAAGGGTTTATTCACGCGATTCTCTTGTCGTATTTTTTAAATTGAATTCTGTCAATTCTATTTCCTTGTTAGAAAATTGTGACTTAAATAAAAATAAAGTTTACGAATTCTTGAAGAGAGAGAGAGAGAGAGAGAGAGAGAGAGAGAGAGAGAGAGAGAGAGAGAGAGAGAGAACATTCCGTTAGTGATCGTGTAAAAATGCTGCGTGCTTAAATTATCAAGTTGTGAGATTCTTTTGTGAATTGGTGTCGTAGCATCAAAATGGTAGCCATATATAAATCCTGATGTAGGTTTTATGTTCGAATATCTGTTCGATTGTCTACGAATTTATCCAACGTAAAAATTGAAAGGAATAATTTCCTCAAGAATCTCGTATATAATAGATCTTTCAATAGATCTTTTTTTTTCCTTTCGCTTATCTGTTAAATTTCTACGTCATAATCAATGTCATTTTCGTTAATTAAAGACATTTAATGTTGTATATTTCACTAAGAATTTACAAAAATTTAAACGTTTTTCCGCGATATATAGCATTAAATACCTGTGTGATATCATTCAAATACCGATTTATCAAGTAAATCAAGCGTCTGCTTCGTATTCTTCTTCTTGGCAACGCGTTTCCGTAACAGTAATTTTTATTTTTATATTATATTTTAAACAAATATTGTCTAAAGCAAGTTTTGAGGATAATATCTGTCAGACGTTATAAATCGGGTTCATAAGGTATCTTAAAGACGTCATATAGACATTTTTCTCTCATAATGTTCCTAAAAATGTCTTATGAATTTTAAGACGTCTCTGGGCGTAATGATTTTTCAATTATAAAACTGCAAATCGTTCGATTTGATTTAATTCGCTCCGAAAAGTATGCTCTAAATTCAAGCCGTTTCCGAATTCACAAGATTACTAGATGTTTCTTAAAAACATAATTTGCGAGAGAAGAAAATTTTGATTTATTATATTAGATTTATATATTTATTATTAGATATATATTATTAGATTTCATATTTATTAAGTGTTTTAATCATAATTCCAATTCTTATCAATTATTCTAATCGAAAACAGTCAAATAAGTATCTACAGCTATAAGACTTACCCGATGAGAGAAGATTGAGTCGTCGATTCAACGACCGCAATGCTGTGTTTCCATTGCATTTAATGACTTGAGCATCCCTCGATTATTCGACAATCGAGCCTCGTCAGAGTGATTTGTGTTAGAAAAATTGACGGTTTAACTAATTATTAATTGCAAATTCCAAGCTAAATGATAAGCACACGGGTACAACACATTTAACGCGATGAAGTTGAATTGCGTCACGACGGACGCCGCGTGCCGACTGGAACTGCTGTGAGCTGTCGCTCTTCTCTCATTTTCCAGTGACAATCGAGGGATCGAGGGAAAGTGCGAGTATACGCGGGCGCGCCTGCCAACGTCGGGACGCCCGCGCCGCCGCTGCCGCCGCTACCGTCGCCGCCGCTACCACCGCCACTATTACCACTGCTGTTGCCACCGTTGCTGTCACGACCGTAATGTTCAACTACCCCTTGAGCAGCTTGCTAGAAGACACCGCTGTGAATTCTGTCCATACATGATGTACAGTTGTCTGTTGTCAACCGGTGATCTTGTCTCCGTCTCCACTATCTCCACTGGTCCACACCGGTCAACTGATGAGGACCGACTCGGTCGGCGACGACGGCGACAACGACAACGAAGTGAAGGACGACGATGCCGGGCGTGTCGAAGAGGGAAACTCGCGTTGGGTTTCGTTGTCGAGGAGCCGCGATGCAGCCCTGTGATCGATCCGTTTCACCCCTTCGTATATGTGCATCACACGGCATGGTGTAGACTGCAGCACATCGACAATAGAGCGAGCAGGATGAAGATAATGCTCAGGACGATATGCGCAACAATAGTGAGCGCAACAGCATGGCCGAGGATGAGTTGACGCGGAGTCGGTGTCGTCGAAATCGGAGAAATGGATAGAATAAAGCCAGGGAAAAGAATGAGTGTGGTCACTCGTAAAAGTCGTAAATTTCGGGTTCGGGTACTAGTTCATGGGCTAATCAACTTGCGCGACTCTTAACGGTATATATGTATATTTGTAATTGCAGGAGAGGATGTAATTCATAGATGCGATCGTGTGGGCGGACATCGGATAAAATCGAATTATGCTCTTTAATGGATATTTTAATTTCACCTTGTATGAGCGATGGAAAAATATTAATTACGCTTCTATATATAAAAAGAGATATACAATAATTTCATATTAATCCCATTCTAATCCTCTGTCCAATTTATAAAATTTATATTTTACAAGGCAATCATATACTCAAAAACTAAAATGGCGAGAATAATGAGAATAATGTATACACTTACTATTTATCATATAATATATTTGTGTACATACCTAATGAATACCTAATAATATAAGTACACATAGTTTAGATATTTTTCGTTATAGTGTATGATATATGTATAAGAAGATAAATCATCTTCATTATAAGTAATCTCACAATCAGATTTACGCATATTTTTATATTGTTAATATAATGGACAAGCTTATATAGCTTGTCCATTATTTAGATACTTAATTTAAAACTTTATACAAACAATAGTTTGCACTAGTTTGGTTCGCGACGATAATAAAGTTTGGTTCGCTGAGAAGATAATAAAGTTTAATCTCAAAAATGGAAGAATTTAACAATATACAGAATATAATTTTCTATTATTTTTCTTTGTTATACGTTATAAATAAATAATGCTTAAAAAATATGTCTTTAATTTTGTAGAATGCTTTGTAAGAGAATAAGGACAAGATAAGTATAAGATAAAATATAAAGATAAAGATATGAAATTATAATTACATAGAATAGAATAAAATAGAAAACAGTAAAAAGTAGACAGTAATACGTGATATATCTCGCAACTTATTATTGTTAGAAGCTAGCCAAGGTCAAGATACGATTGTTCAGCTTGTAAGTGCACTGGAAACAAATCTCTAAGTGAGGGTTTTTGAGTGCAATGAAAGTGAGTAAGCTAGCAAGATGGATTTACATAAAGTTTTGTAGTATCCCCCCCCCCC